TGTTGTGGAGCACCTGACATAGTATCCACCAAGAATATAGACTATTAAATTGTGAGTAAGAAAGGGGCTCTCTCATAGAAGTTAAGGCTAAGTAATGGAAAAAAAGTCAAAGGCAACAGACAATGAGGAAGTGCAGAGACAGAAAGAAAAAAAATTAGTCCTGAGACCAATGTAAGCGTAACTCTAAGCAGGAGTATGGGACTTCAAAGCCAGAGGAGCCACACAAGTCTTCTTAAACCAAAGTAATCACATATAGAGAAATAACCTGGCAATTTAAGATGTCAAGAGCTCCAGATTCGGGGGAAAGCAGAGTGACAGCTGATCTCTTGTTAGCTGCAATCAGGAATGAAACACCTTCAAAAATAAGAAACCAATCATAGGCTTTGTGTGTAAGCCTGGGAGCAGAGCTAAGGCGAGCTCCTCCATGGGCCTCTGCAGGCTTTCGCTCTCCTTAACCATTTAGATGAAACATGTGTCTTCTAGTTAACAATACTCTCTAGGGAGAACTACTGCTTACTTATTTATGTATTTGGTGTGTGTGTCTGTGTGTGTGCGATGTGTATGTGTGTGTATATATGTGTGAATCTTTGTTTCTGTGTGTATGAGTGGGCGATTCAAACTTAGGACCTCACACTTGAGCTGTCTCCTCGCTGCAGTAAGAAATAGTTTTATTCTTAAACACACACACACACACACACACACACACACACACACACATTTATCTGATGATGGTGGGAATGTGCCAAGGTGACCTGTGAAGGTCAGAGGACCGTTTTTGGTGTTGGGTCTCTCCTTCCACCATGTGGATTCCAGGAATAAGACTCAGGTTGTCAGGTTTGGTATCAAATGCCTTTCTCCACTGAGCCATCTCTGTGGTCTCCTAAATAAGAAATAAATTTAAAAAATAACAATTGTATCATTATACCAGCATTTACCATGGATCTTCAATACATATATATCACCCAGTCATCATTCAGGAGCTGCCACTCGGTATAACCAGCCCCGAAAAGCTGTAAATAATAAATTTGTTGATAGCTCTCCATGGGATCTGACATAAGAAAGTAGCTCCACAGCTGAGAAAGAAGTGAGTAATCCCAGCACTTGTGAAGTAGAAGCAGGAGACTGCGAGTTTGAGGACAGCTTGAGCTACGTAGCAAGAACCTGCCTAAAAAACGTAAAGAAAAACAAGAGAGAGGTAGGAAAGGAAGGAAGGTAAGAAAGAGAAAGAGAGAAAGAGCCTCCAGCCACAGGGCCTATCCTCCATTCCTCTGTGCCCTCCTTTGTTAATTCTGCTACTATTAACAGTGTGGCTTCACAAAATCTTTAAATTTCCACGCTTCAGATTTATTACGTGTAAACTAACCATCTTGAGTCCTACCTACCCACATCACCAGGTTACAATAGTGACCAAGTGGAATACAGTAAGAGAAAACTGCACGGACTGTAGTTACAATGACATCATAGGATAGCTGTACCTGAAGAGGCAAGGCATCTCCAGCCCGCAGACATCTGGTAGACCAGTTAACTGCTCACAGTTCTGTGTAAGCTGTTGAGATTCTGTTCTTAGGACACAAAGAACGAAACATAGCTCCAGGCTTATTGTAGGCCTCAGTTAGGAACTAGCACTAGGATGGAAATGGTGACCTGTTATATTTGCTCTCTCTCTCTCTCTCTCTCTCTCCTAATCATAACTAATAACGTACCTTTTTCTCTGAATATGCCTTCATAATTTGAACCAGTAGGATAGTGCGCTGTGAGAGTCACCTGAGAAGGGAGTCTAAACTAAGGAACTGCCCAAATCGTGTTGGCCCATAGGCATGTTGTGGGAGGTTGTCTTGATTGGTGATTGATATAGGAGGGCTCAGAATATTGCAGGTAACACCATTTTCTGTGTAGGTGATTTTTGGCTATAGAAGAAAGTTAGCTAAGCTGGGGCCTGTGGATGACGCAACAAGCAATGTTGCTACGTGGTTTCTGCCTCAAGAACTGCCTGAGCTGCTGCCCTGATTTCCCTTAAAAGTGGACTTTGACCTGTGACCATAAAGCAAATAATCCCTTCCAGCCCCTTGGTTGCTTTTGGTCTCAGTGTTTTATCCCAGCAACCAAAAGGAAACTAGAACAATCAGTGAGAGAAGCAAACTGGCCTACTTAGGGAGCACAGAAGCAGCTTTATTTCACAAGTTACAAACCTTTCATATATTTAATTAATTCCATTTACTCTGGATCAGTTTTCTGTGCTACAGAATACCCTTTTGGCTGCAGAGTAAAATGATTCAGCCCATGAATTGTTTGTGCTGTTAAAGGTCCTGGAGAAAAAAAAACTGTAGCCTACAACTCAAATTATGGGAGTCTAAGCCACAGGAGACTGTCAAACCAGACAGAGATGATGGACAGTGGTCACAAGAAAGACAATCTTCTGATGCCTGCACTTACAGTTCAAAGAGCCACGGATTCAACGTATATCAATTCATACCTTTTGGATCTCTGAGGTCTCCTCTTAGTCTGTTGTGTGGTTTGAGGCGTTAAGATGTAAATAAATGCTTTCATTTGTTTTCAACTGTCTTCATCCTCATATGCAGACACTTTATTGAGTGCTGATTAATAAGATGAAAGACCCCTCACACACGCTTTATTTTTAAATATAGTCTGTTTTATTGCCTTCACTTCCAGCTAGTCATTCTAAGAGAGTAGACTGGGAAGCCACAAATCCCCAACACTGTTAAACCTTTTTGGAGGAAGCAAGAACTGTTTCAAATGAGTGATATTAACCTTCTCTCCATGCTTACCCCCCGCTGTGAGGCAGAACTGATATCAGAATGAAAAGTCACGCAGTAGTTACCTGCCAGGGAAAATTAAGCCAGACAATTCATTTACTTTTCTCCCATTCCAGTTTCTGCTTAGGAAATTGGCTGGAGATGCGTGGAAACAAAGAACGTGATAGATGCCTGACCTACTTATTTAGAAAAGGTTCCTGTGTCAGAGCCCAGGGAATGTAGTGCAGACATCTGGAAGGAGACAAAGTAGAGGGGCTGGACCCAGAGGAGTCTGTGCCTTTTGATGCTCCCACAGTCTCCCATCTGCTTTAGTCCTAGCCTTCACTGACCCTCTTCAAATTGGTATTTACTGCTGTAGATGCCAATGTATGTGTTTCCTGAGTGTAGAGCAAGAAGCTATACTAATTTTAATTTCCTTCATTTGTCTGTCTTCCTGGGAAATTAGGAGGAAGTGGTATCCGCACATTTTCATGCATGACTTTTTCATAAGTTAAAACCTTTGTTTTGCTAACATTCTTTCCAAGAGAATTTCCTGACTGTTCTGGAGGGATGTTATCCATTGCTGTTAACATCAATGCATCAATCTGTTAACATCAGATGCAAAAATTCTGGGCACAGGGGTCTTTTCTGAGACTGATACTCCAGCCAAGGACCCATGCATGGAGATAACCTAGAACCCCTGCACAGAGGTAGCTTATGGCAGTTCAGTATCCAAGTGGCCTCCATAGTAATGGGGACAGGGACTGTCTGACAGGAACTGATTGGCCTGCTCCTTGATCAACTCCTCCTGAGGGGGAAGCAGCCTTACCAGGCCACAGAGGAAGACAATGCAGCCACTCCTGCTGAGATCTGATAGACTAGGATCGGAGGGAAGGGGAGGAGGACCTCCCTTATCAGTGGACTGGGGGAGGGGTACGGATGGGGAAGAGGGAGGGAAGGTGGGATTGGGAGGGGCGGAGGGAGGGAGGCACAGGGGGGATACAAAGTGAATAAACTGTAATTAATAAAAATAAAAAATAATTAAAACTAAAATAAAAAAAAGAAACGTGACCCCATAGTCTCAGGAATTTGAATACTTAGTTCCCAGTTGGTGATGCTGTATGAGAAGTTTTAGGAGGTCCTTTGCTGAAGGAAGTATGGGGTGGACCTTGAGAGTTTATAGCATTGCCCTGTGGGTGGTTTGCTCTCACTGTTTTACTTGTGGTTCAAGATGTGAGCTTTCAACTTCCTGATCCAGCCTCCATGCCTCCGATTGGCCATCAAAGTCTCTCATCTCTCTGAAACCATAAGCTAAAATAAATTCTCTGTCCATTAACTTGCTTCTACTCATGGTGTTCTATCGCACTAAAGTAACATACACACTAGCAATTCAGAAAATGTAAGTGTAGCAAAAAAATAAACAAACAAACCTAGAACATCTTCTAACTTAGAGATTTTTCTCTTACCTGGGTTTACCTGGTTTTGACACACAATAGGACTGGGTTTCACTTCGACATTGGTACATTTGGCCTGCTTTTCTCAAGTTAAAGCCAATAATCCCCAGGTCTCAAGGGGTTCTATATAGTTTCTCTTATTCAGGTGACTAAGCAGGAATCTGAGAGATGATCAGATGTCTAAATTGCTCTGCCTTCTGGGTACCAGAAATGACAGCTCACTTTAGCTGCTTTTTAGGTCTTTCTCCCTCTTTTTCTTTTCCAAATTCTTACGTTTGCTTCTCCTTAGTAAATCTGATATTATTTATTCCCTCTTTCTTCCTAGTTCATTTTTCACACAAGCTCTTCCCTTCTATCCAGTCCCAATTCCACTAGCTGTGACCTTAACACTTCCCCTAAATGATCTTAGTTTCAAATTCAGAATCATAGGATAGGAACTGTTGGCAGTAGCACTGGAATTTATGCCTTTCTCCAATATGTGGAAAGAAGAGAATGTGAATTGAATAGCATAGGCTCCCAATGATACTACACTACCACATGCTCAACCTGTTTCTGACCGTGCTAGCAGCTGGGCCAATAGGTGATTGCCACCATTACCCAAGAAGAGGTGGTCACTAGAAGATTCACTGCTTTGTATTTTCTGTTTTCTAAGTTTTGTTTAGCAGCCTCCATTGGGACTGAATCTTGTTGGTGGGGAGCCCTTCCACCAACCAAGAATTCACATGTTATAAGCACTGTGAGAGGAAAAATGCTTCCTGAAAGAAAGCTTGAAAGTCAAGAAGAACTCAAGAGATCATTACATAGGTATATATTTAATATAAACTGTGGTTTCTGTTATAGGCTAATATTTATTTTATTAGCAGTAAGAGTGAGTTACATGCTACACAAAGTATTGGATACAATAATCAGGAAACAAACACAACTGGTTCAGAATTTAAAACTTAGGAGAAAAGTGCTGGCACAGGACTTAATAAACCTCTCATTTTCATTCCATTCTACCCTAAAAAAAAAAATGACTTCCCAAGTTGTAGAATTAAAAAACAAAGCTGTAAATCCCTTGAATCAACAATGACTTCATGACATAGAATGTTTGGCAAACATTATTCGCCTCCTGTGCCATGTTTCTCGGCATTTCCCTTTATCTTGTCTATGCTTTTTGCCTGTACCTCTTCTTGGGTAGGAACTTAAGTGCTCTTAAACATATTTATTATTAGCCAAGTGTGGTGAGACATGGTGTTTCAGAGAGAGAGGAGGGCAGGGGAAGTGAGAGAGGATGAAAAAAGCATATATAAAGAGGGAACAGGTAACTTGCAGGAAGCATGTTAAACTGGATATGAGGAAGATGGTTACATAGCTTCTCTGTTTGATGCACGTGGTTATTGAACAGTGAACGGAGGATAAAACTCCAAAGCTTCTGCCTGTGTGTCATATTCATCATTCTCTGCTGTAATCATTCATTTAGAGCCCAGATATCTCCTCAGTGGGGAGAGCCAAACTTTTCAGTTCCAGCATGGCTTACTGAAGCTACAGAAAGCTTTATTACTATTATTATTATAGATTGCTTTCATTAGCCACAGGACTTATTTCACAGGAAATGTGTTAAACACCAGAAGTAGCTCTTAAGTTGTTGACCACAGGGCTTTGTGCTGAGAATGTTAAATGGATGCTAGAATGCACATAGAATGGAGACTCGATGCTGGAGAGCCTGTACACCAAGACTTTATATCCCAAACCTGCCCAGAGTTCGCTAGCCCTGGGGTTTGGATGCTTGGATGCTCCAAACTGAACCCTCCGCTCCCTGCTTTCTGGCACCCACAGTCTAAAGGGAAAGAAGCCCTCCATAGTTGCCCTTTTCTGTAGTCCATTTCCTGTAGGATCTTAAGATGAACTTCCTTGTCCTGCCTCACTGTGAGTCGTGAAAAGCCTCTCTGCAACCTCACAGGATGACAGCAAGATGCGGTTTGATTGTCTTTCATGCTGGACTATTCCTCCATGTTTTACAGCCAGTGAGCTAATTTCCTAGGACTGAGGACTTACTTCTTTGCTATTTCCCCTTTCTGCTTTATTCCCTTTTTCCTGTGTCCCATTATCTTCTAAATCTGCTAAATTCCCAGGAAGCAAAGGAAATTCCTGCTAGAAGATACAGTTTCAGGAGTGAAAGTCATTCTTCCAAATTGAATGGCCTCTTAAAAAATTCTCAAACCATCACTTGCATGATGGCATAGTTTGGCAAATCCCTGGAAGGGGGTGCTTATTACTTGATCAATTCATTTGTTAATGGATACCTACTGCATTTCAGGAAATAATCAAATTCTTCTCATTGAAATGGATTTTATACAATGAGATAAAAGAAAAAAAACATTTTCGTTTAATTTGCCTCTCTTAAAGTTCAGTGTATACAATAAAGTATGGTGGTGCATAGAATATGAGAAAAGAGTATAAAATATTTCCATAAATTTGGTTCTGCCTTTTGAAAGGTGTCCTCTATATAGGCCAAAGTGTGTGTTTGTGTGTATATGTATGTGTGTGTGTGTATCTGTTTCCATGAACAATCCTGCTCTAACAGACACACATGAGACACAGCCTCCTGAGGTACTCTGGGTTTGATGGTCTTTCTTTTTGCTGATTTGATTTAAAGATTAATTTGACCCTCAACCCAGAACTATATCAAACTCAGACAGAAGCCCGGATTATGGGTCATTTCCTAGGTGAATCATAGGCTTCCTTTAAGAACAAGAAGCAAATACTCCTGTCCATTGACCACAATTTAGTCCCAACACTTTCCTACATCCCAGATCCACTTTCAGGCATTGCTATGCTCTCCTAGAAGAGGGAGACACAAGAACCCCTGGGCTCACACTTCATACTTTCTCAGGCAATTTACTCCAGGAAAACTGGAGAGCAGTGGGGGAGGAGGTGGAAGGAATGCCAAACAAACACTATATATTCTTTTCCTGGAAAGGTCATCCCACTTTTTCTAATTCCTCAGATCTAAAAGAATGTATTTTCTTCTTGTTGCCATAGAAACTACTATTAACATAGATTTGTGTGTGTGTGTGTGTGTGTGTGTGTGTGTGTATGTGTTTTTCTCTCCAAAATGTTTTTTTTGGACAATTTTTTGGCTTCTCCTTTGATGATAGAATACTTACCTCCCATTTACTTTCTTATATGTTAGAAGAATATATATGTTTATATATGCTTTAAATTTAAAGTTATATAGATAAGGAAGATATGTGGATATCTAATGCAGCCAGCAGACTGCAGAAGCATGCCTTCCTGCAATCTTTTGTTGCCTCACAGCATGCCCTTGAGGCACCCTTCCCACCCTCCTCACCCTCCATTGACAAGTCTAGCCACTGACACAGAATTGTGTAAGCCTAGTCAACTGAAGTCTCCAGAACAGGCTCCATCTGGGTGTGTAACAGCTAGTTCATTCTTTGGGCATTTCCAAACATTTAGATGTTTCAAGTAATGTGAGTAAAGTATTTAAATTATAAATTAATTTTTTTCATTGTTCAAGAAACATCTCAACACAATTTTGGGGTATTTCGCATTTCTAATTGTTTGAGAGAGGGTCAAAGGCTGATTTCTTTCCATCGTGATTGGGAGGCGTCGTAAGGGCTGAACTTAAATGAATTCTGTTCAGATTGATTTTGTAAAGCACAAAGTATGCATTGTATCTCTTACTGAGAATGCCCGGCTAACACAATGGTACTGTAGAAAGAAGTCAGTGATGTTAAATGATGTATTTGCTTAAAAACCCAAAGGTGGCTGCCTTATAAACAGCTTACTGCTTTTTAACTAACAAAATCCCAAAATCATTAGAGGATGAGAATTAAAACAGTAAACAAGACCAGTGAAATCCCTGTGAAAAGGGACCCTTGCCTCTGTCTTTCTTTTCAGCGCAGTTAAAAGAACAAATCTATCACCCATTCTTTTCGCAGATAGCTTTATGTTAGATGGGATTTTTTTTTTTTCTGTGACTTAGACTGACCCAAATGTGGTATACCTACAATACAAAGCAGTCAGAAAGAAGAAATGGAAGTGAAGGACCTTAGAGGACAGATTCGCACACCCAAACCACCATGAGCAAAAGAGTCAGCAACACAGCTTGGGGTTTGCCTTTGTTTGGGTATCTTAGAGCAAAGCTGCTATGGAGAAAGCTAAGGAGAAAGCCCGGGGGATGCTGTGTTGCTGCAGAAGATGTAACTCCACTCAAGGGGTGACTTCTGAAGCCTGACCAGATTACTACTTGATTAACTCCATGTAAAACCCAGAGCGCACAAAGCGGGGCAGCGAATCCTTCTCCATCAGGGCATGGATTCTTTTCTGGGCCAGGTCAAAGCTTCTCGGGGAAGGTTTCACCAGGTTGTTCACGGTGATGGTTTTAGTGAAGTGGTCGATGTTCACCTGTGGGCCAAGAAACAGGGTCACTGAGTCAGCTCAGACTTCAGGGTACCAGAAGTGCAGATGAGGTGCAGAATTGTCACCAGCAAAAGGAAAGATAGGAGGGATGCCGTGCAGAGAAATACCATTGCTCTTTCTGAAGCGGGGGAGGGGGAAGTCAGGCAAGCGATGCTGCAGCAAACATGCGGCTCAGATTCAGATCCAACTGTCATTAGACACCTATGGCATTAGACACTAGTGGCCAATCTAGGCATATGCTATTTCATCCTTCAACAACTTAAGAATGTACATGTGAAGTTAAGTGGCTCGAGGCCATCTCTTTGATGAGTGTTTTGAAATCTGGAGAAAGAGATTTGAGTACAGGCGAGCTGATGCTTGGTTTCATGTTCCTATCCTATGAAGTTTCCTGCTCTCTGATGACAGTGGCAAAAAACAAACAGTTCTTGGCCAGGGACCCATGACCTTTTGAAGAGCTTTAGAATCATTGTTTCCTGACAACAATGAAGAAGCAACCGTTTTGATGAGATTACAACTATAGCCATGAACCATCCATTTTTCTGCTGAGTGGTTAGTCTGTGACAGGGCTTGAACCCAGGACCTTCTGCATGCTAGAAAGTGCTCTGCCACTGAGCTACATCTTCATACCCACTCTTAAGAGAGCCAGCTAAGGATACTACACAAGCGAAGAAATAAACATCTCATGTTGTATCTAAAGATGTATTACATATGTAAAAGAAGAAAGATGATAGGAATATTTTCCTTTACAAATATCATCTATAATAGATCGCTGACCACAAAAAAAGTCTCACTTAATCACCTATGTGCTTGACGCCAAACCTTTGATGACAAAAATGCATACATTGGATTCACGAGAACCATGTGGGATTATAGGACTGGATAGACAGTTCTGGCTGTGGCTGTTCTGGATTTTTCAATGAGCTTTTCAGTTTGGTTTTATTGATAGCAAAGATGACAGCAGACAAGCTTCCCGAAAGCTTTCTTGAAACCTCAACATAGCTGGTCTACAGCAGTGAATTAGTGGTATACTGGCTTTAAATACCTTTTGCATTATTATCTTGCATTATTTTGGTTTTCATGAATGGAAGCCCTGTTGCCTCAGCCAAGGACAAATGTCAAAGGCTAGAAGCAGGACTCACTGGCATCAATTAGTTCGAGCACTCATGTGTGTTTTCACATCTACCGCTTGTTCAATTTAATTCTCATAACTTTACAGAACAGTTGCAGTCATTCTTACTTTTCACAGGGAAGAAACTATACCCTACATTTTACCCCAAATCTTACATTGGCTTCCATCTTGCTTAAGTTAGTTACATGGCACTGAAGTGAGATTTCAATAGCCACTGGTTGCACAGTTGTCTGTGCACCATTTAAGTCAAGCACTTGACACTATCACACTGCCTTTGTATTCAGTAGGTGCTTACTAAGCACTCTAATGACAAGTACAAGTAGACTTTGGCTCCAAATGTCATTCCTGAAGCTCATGAAGCCATGCCCAATAATGTGTTCACCTGGCTCTAAAATGGCTGCACTCAGCCACCTGCTCACCAGGACCCACCTCTTTAGGGGCCTCTGTCTGGATGAATTCTTCATAAATTTGCTTTGCCTTCTCGGCCCTTTTGACTGGGGACTTGATCTTCTTGTAATTCTCACAGGCAATCCAGAACTCAAGGTTTTCCTCGCTGAACTCAGACTTCAGGAAGCTTTTGAAGCTGGCAAGTCCATCTAGCAAGTAAAAAGTCAGCAGGAGAAATTCACTAATTGATTTCACAAGCTCTGTATCTGGATGGATAGCCCAAACTTACTTCCAGCACATTCCCCCACTGATGTAAATATTTTACAAATGGAAACATCTAATTCTCATTATACACCCAAAGAGTAGGTATTTTAAGAGACCTAGTTTGTAAATAAGGTCACAGAAGTCTAGGGAACTGCCCTGAAATATTCAGCAAGTAAGTACAGGCCCAGGACTTAAAACCAGGCTATTTGATTCTGCAGTCTCACACATTTGTCTATTATCCTGAGCCACTTTTCAAGAGATGTGTGATTCTTTTTCTCAGAACTGGAAAATGTCCTTAGGAGCTGTCTACTCTCTCCTGCACTTGAACTGGGAGAAAAACCTAAGACTGGAGAAAAGATGCTAGAGATGACATGGAAAGGCTCAATGATGCTGTCCCATGCATTGACTTGTAGTTCGTCATCATCTGCCCTTATCCCTTTGTTCAGATGGAGGCAGGCTGAGATGGAATCAGACAGGCTGAGACAACGAAAGGTGCTCTGCTTGTCATACACTCTGACCCTGGACAGAGGGCTTTGCCTCACCGTCTTTTACACAGTGTGCATTCAGGTGACACCGAGGATGCTCATCAATATTGTCGACATTCAGGACACATATCAATTCCAAAGAACATTTTCTTTTTCAGCAGTGAAAATTGAATCAAGACCCTCATGTATACTACACAAGAACTCTATCACAAAGAGCTATGTTCCTAGCCCCAAAGACTATATTTAAAGTTTGATTGATCAAAATAAATAAAATTTATAATGATCGCCAGAAACTTTTATCTTGTTTTTTCTTTCTACAGGTGAATTTTTGAGTAAGTACCACATGCCACGATGGTAAATGAAATAAACTTGGCTCCCTAGCAAAGTTGAGAGATTCCAAGGAAAGTTAAAAAAAGATGAAGAGGCATGTTGCACATCTATGCAGTGAAAGAAAACCGTTAAAGAGCAGCAATGCAGTCACAGCGGGAAACTAACTTCAGTTCAGATTGAAGAAAAGTGAAATAGCAATGTTGAAATTGATATCTTGACAAAGAGACCAGGTGAAGTTGTCACATAGAGGCAGTTATTATGTCCATCGGTTAACTTTACATCAGTGCTTAGAATACAGAGAACGTAATTTAGCAACGGTGAGGCTGTATACAGGTGGAGAAGCTTATTTGTGTATAAATGATAGTTCCTGGACCTTATCCTTTCCTTTTTCTTGACCTTCTAATACTAATCTTCCAAATGATAGATGGGGGTTGTTCATGAAGAGGATATAACAACGTATTGGAGATGAGAAAAGGGGGAAAATCTAAATTTATACTGTTTCCCTTCTCTTAGTAGAGAATGTGCATGTGAATATGCACCCGTGTACATAAAACCATTCAAACCTAAATCCCAACAACTAGATCTGTCAGAAGAGAATCATGATATTCCAAAGGAAAATGGAGGTTTCTAAAGAAGGAGGAAAAAACCTAGCTTCCACAGGCTATGTCAAAGCCACAGTCTTGGCAGCATGTCCTGGTATGCCGTCTGCCTCCGGAGACAGAAGGTAGAAATGACTGCCATCAACTTCAGGAAACATCCTTCCCTTACTTGCCCCAACAAGGACATGTTACAAATCATTATTTCTGTTTAGGTCACATAGTCACATTCTAGATTCTATTTGTTGTTGTTGGGTTGTTTTTTTTTTTTTTTTTTGATCCAATTTCAATCTATTTCTCTTTTTCTCAAGCACTTGTTGCTTTCTCGTTTGTAGACTGTAAATTTTCATTTATTGGTCATTGACTATTAAATGAATTGCACGAAATATATGTGACGATAAAAGCAGAGATACAGGGCCATTTTTTAAAGTGTGTGAGTGGGGGGTGGCATGCATGTGGCGTGTATTTGTAGGCGTGTGTTATCATGTGTGTGGATACACAGGTTGTTCTTGGAGTCACAGGTTGGATGCGCATCTTGGATGTTCCTCATGCACACGTGTGTGCATACATGTGGAGGCTCAGGCTTGATGTCTGAATCTTCATTGCTCTTCCGCCTTCATCTCTGGGATACGAACTCTCAGTCATTCCTGGAGCTTGCTGATATGGCTGGTCTCACTGAGCAGCTTGCCCAGCAATCCCCGGACCCTGCCATCTGAGGATGGAATTACAGATGGCTCATCACTCCCACTTGGTAGGTACATGAGTTCTGGGCTTTCAGACTCCTGTCCTTTTACTTCCGTTACAAGGCGGCCCTTAACCACTGACCCATCTTCCCAGCACATTTTCATTCCTCCCATGCTGCCCACGTTGTTCCCTGCAGCCAAACTCAATTCTGAAGAAAAAGAATGGCCAGGTTGGAAATTAACTGGGATTAGGTTCAGTATTGATTCCAGGACCCAAGCAAGACACTTTGCCATTTAATCCTTCCTCTGTACTTCTAGGACACCATCATCGATCGACACTAGAGGCATCTGGGAACGTAAGTAGGCTTGAACAACAGTTTTCTCTAGGAACCTGGCTGGCTCGTTGTATTACTTTAAACCATTTTGATAAAGTCAGGCAGGCTGCCTTTTCCTATCCACGCTGCAGTTTCTGCTGCACTGCTAGTCAGAATTTAATGATAACTGCTCGGCATACACCTCGAAAGAACCAAGACCCAGGTTTATCCTTGTCGTGGCTAATTTTTTTTTTTTTATAGCAAATGTGTTGGATGCTCTTTATTGAAATGGAAAAACTCTCAAGTCACTTTTTAGCTACCAGGAAATAAGGTCTTATGAGCATCCATGTAACCAGATCTCAGATTTCGGAGGACAAAGTAATTCCATAGAATACAGCTGTGGCAAACTCTTAGCCCCTCCCCCCCATAGCCCCAAAGCCCCACATATTATCAAACTCTCTATTCCACTTCTTTGTAAAAACTTGAGGATAGAGATCAGTCCTCCCAACCACTGATGTCTCAGACCTGAGAACTCACATCCAGACCTTAGCATTCACTTCACAGCAGGAAATGAACTAGCGGAGCAGCTTTCCAGTGCAGAGACACACATTCTGAGTGCTGGCTCTCTCTCTCTCTCTCTTTCTCTCTCTCTCATGAATTTCACAATACTATTTCAAGGCTTTTTCTTTTTCAATGTATGCACTTTAAACTAAGAAAAAAAATAGTCTCATGCCCTACTGGTCTGGGAGCCTCTTAAATCTACTCCTTCTCTCACATGCCTTCTGAGCACTCTCCAGAGATTCCCTTAGCAGAGTAGTCAGTTCCCACCAACTTCCTACTTCTTAGACTGGTTTTCTAGTGGTCCTTTTCTCAGAGACTTTTTCTATTGAATTCCCATCACCCCTGAATGTATGGTTTTTTTAAAAATCAAAGTTGAAAAGAATCCAGCCCAAATATCTCTATTCTACAAGGTATGCATATTTTTATTACTCCACTACTTTTACCTGAGGAACCACAAAACTCTAGCACACAACCCTAAGAAAGCATTACGGGGCCTGCATGAGCCAGCACAGGGCCTCAGAATGCCTCTTAGCACACCCAGGCATCAGCCACCAACCAGAACTCTGAGGAAGTCCATACGATGACTGGCCATAAGCATTTTGTGAGTAGGGTGCCCATACGTCATATGGCCCCCATATACTGTAATCTCAGAGCTGGCCCTAATACGTGATAGAAATTTTTGACACTACGCAAATCAGAGTACTGGCCATATACGGGGTGAGGGTTAGCCTGTAAAACCACTCTGAGGATAAAAGGAGCATTATACAAATCCAAGAATCCAAGATAGATTGTCATAAAATATTGAAAACGGGATTAACGCAAATACTTCAGTGGCGGTGGCATTGGCAGTTTAGAAGAAGCATGACGTGGCTTACTGGATCAGAGCTTGGGCTTCAGAATCAAGATTGCCAAGTGGTGAATCCTGGCACACCTTCTTATGAAACAACACAGACAGTTAGTTAGCCTTTTGGAGCCTCTCCCAGTTTGTATGCTAAATGAAAATAATAATGAAACCTACATGGCAGGGCTATGGTAAGGACTAAATAATTCACATGTCGCTTTTATATGGGGCCAAGCATAATTTTCATGCAGCTCAGTTCACACTCTTTCTTTCTCATTATTGGTAACAAATTAAAAACTACTGTTTGTCATCATCACAAGCCCCACACAAATTTTACCTCATCTGTGACATCATCTTACCCCCACTGCCACCTGCTCCCTCTTGAGGGTTTTTGTCAATGGAGGGAAGACATTATCTTTTCTATCCCATTGGGACTGTCTGCTTGTTCAGCCATCTTTTCCATGAGGTTTTTAACTGTTTTTATTTTCCTTATCTTCACTTCCCCTTTCGTTTCCCCCTCCTTGGATATATGCGCCTAACACTTAATAGTGAATCTCAATGAACTATGAAATTATTATATCTCTCCAACACACAGGACCAAAGAACAAGAACTTTCTTTCTTTGAGACAGGGCTTCTCTGTGTAGTTCTAGATGTCCTGGAATGCTCTCTGTAGACCTGGCTGGCCTCAGACTCAGAGACCTGCCTGCTTTTGCCTCCTAAGAGCTGAGATTAAAGGTGTGTACCATCCATGCCTGGCAGACCATAAACTTTAAAGAAATGTAAATACCCAATGTTGTTACTGTTGTATTTTACATCATAGGCAAGCTACCTAGCTCTCCTGATGATGAATTTTTTTTCTGAAAAATAGAGATAGTTATTGTACATACATCTCAAGATTATTGCACCCACTGAATAGAATAATATATGCAAATTGTTTAGAATAATGTATAGCATATGTGAATAAAGAATATCTCTTTTGTATCACTCATTTTATTATCATTCTCATAAATGAAATTTGCGGCTGTCAATCAATGAGCTGATAATGGGGACCATGACATAGAAAGGAGAAAACCGGAAAGCAAAGAAAGAGAAGCCAAAGTAGACTGTGAAGACAGAAACCAAAGGATGAGCCTG